AAGGGTACTTTGGGGGCAGACGCTGCCCTGGTGCTGGTTGTGGGGGGATTGAGGGGTGCTCAGTCTCGAGAGGCACGCCCCCCCCACGCCAGGGGGCCCGACCCCCCTCCTCACCCGTCCTTCCTCTCCCAGCAAATCATGAAGGACAAATGGATCAACATCGGCTACGAGGGGGACGAGCTGAAGCCCTACAAGGAGCCGGAGGAGGATTTTGGAGACACCAAGCGCATCGGTGAGGGCCCAGGGCTGCTGGGCTGCGTGCCCTGGGGGGGGGGGGACCCCCGATGGGGGCAGCACCAGAGGCTGGACGCGAGGACACCGGTTTGGTGAGGGCCCAGCTGTCTGGCGAGGGGAGGGCAGAGCAAAGCTGCAGCCCCATGGCCTGGATCTTTGGCCTCCGCCCCACCCGGGCCGGGACATGGCCCCTTCCTCCCAGCCCCCAGAAGGCTCAGTAGTACCAGGGCACCCCCCAGGGCTTGCTTGGCGGGGGCCGGGTGCTGGTGTCAGTGCCGGAAACAAACCCAACCCCTCTCTCCCAGAGGTGATGGTGGGGATGGGCTACACCCGCGAGGAGATCAAGGAAGCCCTCAACAGCCAAAAATACAACGAGGTCACAGCCACCTACCTCTTGCTGGGCAGGAAGAATGAGGTGAGTGCAGGCCCGAGTTGGGGGAGCCCGTGAGGGGTTTGGATCTGGAGCGTTTGCTGAATCCTCTGTTTCGTGCCAGCCGAGCGCTCCCGGCCGGCTCTCTAATCTCTTCCAGCCAGGGGCGGATTTTTTTGCATCCACATGCGGAATAAATTTTTACGTGCACCGAGGCGCATGTGAATGTGCCCCATCAGGAGACACAGCGGGCACTTGCGCTCGCATGAACCTTTCCACAGTCAGGGACATGCCCAGCTGTAAGCCGAACAAAGGCGTCTCCCCAGCCCACAGCTGTCCCGTCTCGTCCAGGTCCAAAGTCTGACCCCTGTAAGTTTATTTCCCAGTCCTGCCCTCCATCAGCGTGAAGAGAACAAGCCACCAGCCTCTGCCTGGGATCAGCATCCCGTCACAAGGCAGAGTTCTAGGTAAAAGATATGAACCCCACATGTTACCTACAGAAAGATCCATTTTCGGGGTCCTAGTGTGTAGACCCACGTTCTAGAACTTAAGAAACCAAACCGAACTGCAGTGTGAATTCTCCAAACTGCATCACATTTGAATCCAGCCGTGCCTCCCCCTGGCTGGCTTCCATACGCGAGCCTGGAGCTTCCTCCCTGCCACCACAGGCGGCGTGCTGTGTGCGGTGACGTCACTTTCTCCTTTTATAGTTTCTTCCACGTGGAGGGGACTTCTCTGTTCCACACCAGGCCCATGAACATTCCCTCCAATCTTTCCCATGTGCGGAATAATTTTTTATGTGCACCGAGGCAGGTGCGACTGTGCACCACCAGGGGAAACACACAAACCAAGCCGGATGGTGGTGGACTCTCTCCTGAGTCACCGCACAAATGCCTGGCTTCCACGGAACATTGGTCCAGGGTCACCCAAGCTAGCCCCATGTCCTTGCGGGCTTCCGTGAGGCAGGGCAGAAATGGCTCGTTCTCTGTGTGGATGGGCCGTTCAATTTGAATGCACCTTTCGCAGACCAGAGTGGGTGTCCAGCTGGGTGGGTGTTACCTGGGAGGAGACCTGGCTTCACAGTCAATTTTTATACTCCAGCTTGCACCGCGCTCCATGCTTATGAATCGGATAATCGCACTCCGCAACCCGTTGCTTTTCATAGAACCATAGGGCTGGAAGAAACCTTAGAAGGCCATCGAGTCCAGCCCCCTTCCCAAGGCAGGACCAATCCCAATGGAATCAACCCAACTGCACACAGTATTCCAAATGGGGTCTCACCAATGCCTTGTATAATGGCACTAACACCTCCTTATCCCTACTGGAAAGAGTTTTTCCTAATATCCAACTTGGACCTCTCCCACCACAACTTGAGCCCATTGCTCCTTGTTCTGCATCCGTCACCACTGAGAACAGCCTCTCTCCAGCCTCTTTGGAACCCCCCTTCAGGAAGTTGAAGGCTGCTCTCAAATCCCCCCTCACTCTTCTCTTCTGCAGACTAAACAGACCCAAGTCCCTCAGTCTCTCCTTGTAGGTCATATGCTCCAGCTCCCTAATCATTTTGCTTGCCCTCCGCTGGACCCTCTCCAATGCGTCCGCATCCTTTCTCTAGTGTGGGGCCCAGAACTGGACACAATACTCCAGATGTGGCCTCACCAGAGCCGAGTAAAGAGGAATAATCACGTCTCTGGATCTGCTGGCAATGCTCCTCCTAATGCCCCCTAATATGCCATTAGCCTTTTTGGCTACAAGGGCGCCCTGTTGACTCATATCCAGCTTCTCATCCACTGTAACCCTCAGGTCCTTTTCTGCAGAACTTTTCCCTTGGCCCTGCCTGGGAGATATTTTGTACAAGATGCGTCAGAGTGATTTCTAGCCTGGTGTTTTTCAATCAGTGGCATGAATCCCCGTAGGGGTACTCGAGAAGTCTGGGGGTACCTCAACACAGCTGAAAATTGGAGAAAACGGAATTTTTGTGTTAAGTTTTACAGCGCTGTATTGTTTTTACGCTTTTTACGCCCCAAAATTTCATTGCCACCCAGCTACAATTAAGTTGTTTAAACAAATGTGTTGCAATGGTAGAAAAAAATTTGTGTGTATGAAAATTGTAGGCACTGGGGTACTCATATTTTATTTTTTTTGGAAAAAGGGGTACTTTATAAAAAAAAGATTGAGAAACATTGGTCTAACCAATGCCTCCTGTGAGCTGAACGCTTAGGTGGCTCAAACCCACATCAGCAAAGCCCCTGCAGCCGGCCGTGTGGTGCACAGGCCTCGGTACACGTAACAAAATTTATTCCACCTATGAGTGGGGGAAAAAAACCGAGGGAACATTGTGTGTAACAACATCACGGTGGAGAACACAGGGTGCTGCGGTGTCCCCAAGCCAGGCAGAGAAGAGCAACCAGACTGTTATCAGACTCGTGGTCTTTCAAGCCAGGTCCTGTCTCTGCCGGTGGCGGGTGGCGGGTGCTGCAGAGGGAATGACCGGAGCAGGGCAGATTTTGAGGGGTCCGCCCCCTGTCCAGTCCCTGTGTCGCAGGCAGGGGTTTAATGACCCCCAGTGCATGGAGTCGCGTAGCTGGTGATCTTGGCTAATGACCGTGCCCCAGGATTCGGTTTAGCCCCAGTATGATGTCACGGACTCGCAGGGCTCTGCTCTTGGCTCTATACGGCCCCTGCGAGGAGTCCCCTTCGGGGCCACAGCCCTCCTCGGGGGCCACTCTCTCTTGGGGGGGGCATGCTGTAGGGCCCCCAGCCCGCCTGGCTCTCCCCACGGGCCTCTCTGGGACTCCCCTTGTGAGCAATTGAGCACAGAACAGGAAACCCCCAGCTAGGTCTATCCTGCGTCCAGGAGGGCCCTGGCTGCCCCCTCTTCCTCCCCCCCCATTTCAGCTGCCCCCTCCTTCCAGCCAAGACCCCTCTCCTACATCCTTTGTCCCCTCTCTGGCTGGTCAGGTCACCAGGGCCTTCTCAACCTATTGTCCTCCCCATGGCCAGGACTGGCTGGTCCTCCTCGGGTAGGGTCCCCCACCACCAGGCGACTAGGCCAGGTCACACCTGGTCCTCTGCCCCAACAAAAACGCCTTCCCACCACCTCGTTACACATGCAACACCCAGGGGAACGGAGGCAGGCCTAGACGATGCATATAAGTCGCTACAAAAATCCCCAACTTCCTCTCCACCTTCACGCCGTCCCCCCGCGGCGAGTTCCACAGGTTAACCAAGCACCAGCTTCCTCCTGGTTTTAACCTGCCGCCTCGTGATTCCAAGGGGTGCGCCCCGGTGCCTTGTGGTACGGGCCGAGGTAAATGGCACTTTTCTCGCTTCCTTCACGCTGTTCGCACAGGCAATAATTCACCCCGGCGGGTCCCTTCACAGAGGAACAGGCCCTGTCGTCCCCTGTTCCACTCCTTGCCTCGTTTTTGTTGGCACCGTTTCCGATTCCGTCATCGCAGTGGCCGGAGCTGCTCACCACCCGCCGGGGGGGTGGGATCGTGAGAGTTGTGATAGCTGGGCCCAGACCGGGGTCACTGACCGGGCCGTGTCCACACGGGGAGGGTTTGGTGACCAAAGCGCTGTCGACCTGAAATGAAACGGGTCCAACTGGTTTTTCTGCCTCCCGTTTTCGACGTGTCCTGGCCACGTGGCTAGCTCCCCCGTGGACAGGTAGAGCAAAGCCTTGTGGGTAAGCATCCCACGGGGCCGTGCTGTGAGAAGGCCCAGCTGATCCTTGCGCTTCGTGGGGTTCTCCCCGAGTTCTCCCACCACTCGGGGAACAGCAGCGTGAGGCGCTCTGGGAGCTCTCTGGGGTGAGGGATGTCAGAGCAGCCCCCCATCTCTCCAGCCCTCCCCTGGCGGCAGCAGCCTGCCTTCCGCTGTGTTCCTAGCCAGGCAGAACAGGCGCACTCCAGCAATTTGCTCTTTGTTTGGTCCCCAAAGGGAGCAGCTCACTCAGCTGTCAGATACTTCCTGGAGCTTTGAAAGGGGGAGGGGCATGCAGGCCTGCAGGGCAGCAGAGATCCCAAGACACTGAGCAGAGCCAGCAGGGCAGGCATGGTGGGATACTGGGGGAAGCCAATTCTCACCACACAACAGCATCCACGCCGGCTCTTTGTTGACACTAAAAGGAGGGGAACGGACAAAGCTCTCCCGGGGGTGGAGGTGGTGTTGCCAGAACAGTGTGTTTCCCTCGAAAGTTGCACAGCAGTGTGCCCGCTCCCACTGGTTGGGCACCAGAAGAACGGCGTTTCCGTCGGGAAAGCGTGTGGGCACCGGAAAGCAGCCGGCGCCCAATTGCGAGGCCGGGCTGACAGGTGTGCTCTCGGCAGGGGGGGCCTGTCCCTGGCCCGGGTGCGGGCCCCCAGCGAGGTCTCCAACGGCACCAGCAAATCGTCCACCCACGCCAAGGCCCAGCGCAGCTCCTCCACCTGCCACAGGGTCCCTGGCCCGGGTGCGGGCCCCCAGCGAGGTCTCCAACGGCACCAGCAAATCGTCCACCCACGCCAAGGCCCAGCGCAGCTCCTCCACCTACCACCGGCAGCGGCGGCACAGGCGCTTCTGTGAGGCCCCCACA